CACCACGGTGGTGAGTGTGATTGCTCTGGTAGACCACTACCCCATGTACTGAACAGTCGCTTTGTGAGTGAAAATTGATATGTATATAATACAACCCACCAGTACGCTTGTACGTGAAATACAAACTGACATACAAACCGAGGCGAAGCCGATGTTTGTATGTCGGTTTATATTTCACATACGAGGTGATTCGCAATTTTTGGACATGTCGCAATTTTTGGACAAATCAGTTAAATATGGAAGTAGAGTCCCCCTGAGTCGTTGTCCTTTCCTTGGTGGACAAATCTTTGACAAGAGTGTCTTCGTGTGGTCCTCAAGTTTCTTCGTGCCAATTTTTAGCGGTGAAGGCCGTTTCTTTCTGGGCGTTTTCTTTATTATTCTTAGGTAATGTAATGAGTAATTTTGAAAATTTCGATTAAATAATATATGATTGAGGATTCCGTTGACTCTACGTCGCATAACGGAGAGAATGTCGACATGGGGGATGTTGTATCCCTTCCATCAACTCCAGGGACTACGTATTCCAGCTCAAATCCGCCTGGAAGAGTCTCCTCGCCTTCTCAACCGGTGCGTTTGTGGAGGGGTTCTGGTCAGGAGAAATCTCTTTTAGCAGTGCGAGCGTTCCACTCACCTGGCACCAGTGAACACTTCCTAACCAAGAAGGACGCAGCGGCTAGTTACGGAGCTAGCCCTCCACTCTTTGCGAAATATGAGAAGGAGATGGGCCACACTGGAGTGCTCTCCTCTGTTCTTGAATATGACGTCCATGAAAACCCTTGAGTGACCCTTTAAATTGTGTGTCACATTGAAAAGCCTTGAAAAGCTTGCTATGAACGGCCTGTCATTAGAACTCATATCAGCTGGTCTCATAGGCATAGCCTTACCCCATGTTCATGTCCTGTGCAAGTTTTACTCGTTCACACCATTGCAGACTGCTGCTAGATGCTATTTAATTTAGTTGTCCAATAATTGCTCGCATTGAAAAAGCAGTAGGAAAAGACACCTTCAATCAGGTCAAGTTGTGGCCGCATGCTTCAACTCTATGCCTTCAGGTGTGTGTGGTGGTGGTAAAGCATAAGTGTGCCAGTAGAAAGGCAAGAAAGAAATTTAATTTATCTTACAAACCAACATAATGGGGTGCTATTTAATTTGAGTGTCCAAAAATAGCAAATGACCTCGTACAAGCGTACTGTTGGGATGTATTATACTTATGCTGACCTTCATACAAACTGACAGTCAACTTCTTCCTGTTTCAGTTCGCAACTGCAGAAAACGACCATTGCAAATATGAGCTCACTTGAGGCTCGTCCGTGCTTTTCTCATCATGAAAATAATGAGAAAGTTTCAAGTCTGCGCAGTGGTGACCTGCAGAGCTTCGTCCTAAAAGTGGTCCAAATCCGAATTTTCTGGGGTGACGACCTTGGAGAAGACGCGCGCACCAAAACAAGAAGTAAAACTCGCAAACATAGCTGCTAAGCACGCATTCCATTTCTGTCACCGTTGTGGTCAGTTTGCGTTTTGCTGCTTCTACTTCTAGTACATTCTTTCGCAATGAGTGACGAGCTTCCCCGAAAACGAGTGTTTGGGTGTGTCACCTACGATGAGCAAACGGAGCGCTCAGGGTGTCCCCAAGAACACGCGCTATTCTACTGAGTACTGGTTGCGAATACTTGATCAGTTTTGTTTGAGTGGAGACCAGCCGTTTGGTGTCGTCGATTTCAAGACAGTCACGAGCGAAAAGCTTTGTGATATCCTCTCGTCATTCTACGCGAATGTGAAGAAGAAGGATGGCTCCGGGTTTGCGAAAAACAGTCTTCAATCTGCCCGTGGTGCGATTCAGCGGCACATCTCGTCATTCTCGCGGCAGATCAACATATTTACCGATCCTGCGTGCTGGCGTCATCCGCGATGAGTTTCAGCTGTCGGCTATCAAGCGCTACTTATCCAAACTGCATCCGGACGAGAATCGTTTGTTCCAGCGAGCTTTGTCAGGTGAGATGTCTGCTGCTGCCAATTGCTGGTTCATGAAAATGCCTCTTTCACACAATATCTTATCTGGCATGATGAAGCGCTTGTCCTCGGATGCTCTTTTGTCAATGCAGTATACGAATCACTGTGTTAGAGCAACATCAATTACCAACATGAAAAAAATGTGGTGTGGATGATAGGAGAATTTGTTCTGTTTCTGGTCATCGCAATGTTCAGTCTCTTACTGCTTATGATAGGCCCAGCCTAACAGAGTCGTGCTCTATGGCTGAAGCTATTGATCTGAGATTGCCTGTAGCTGATAAATCAAACCATGCTGTGCAGTCATCCACACCCGCTGTCACTGTTCAGAGCCATTCATCTGCTGTTCAGAGCTCTGCTTCTACCGTATCTCCTTATCTGAATGCTGCTTCCACAACCTTCAAGCACAGTTCTATTGTGTTCAATATTCACGCTGAGTGTGCTGTTGAGGCTCGCAAGAAACTGAAGCGCAAGCATTCTGCTAAATAATTATCTTGCTGCTAGGCGCCTAGCTTCCTCTAAAGCTGATTTTCCTGTTGGCATGTAGGCATGGTTATTCTACTCATGACATAATGTGATAATAATTCTTCTCGATCTCTAAAAAGGAGTTTGTATGGTGGTGGTCTATATGGAGTTTGTATGAGGTTGATATGAGGTTTATATGCCCAATATAAACCGCCAGCATGATGGGCAAGTTGACTGGAAGTTTGTATGAAAGGTCAGCATAAGATGCTGGACTGTGTTCATTCTTGATGACATACAATCTTTGTAACAGTAATAATGACGTCACATGTACAAATATCTGATGATGTCACCGGTACAACATTTTGAAAATTGCTGTTGTCTGGAAGTGGTGCACCCCCCTGGAAGGGGAGCCAAGCACGCCCCTGTTGTGTGTGTGGTGTGTGTGTATGTGTGTGTGTGTGTGTGTGTGTGTGTGTGTGTGTTTGTGAGCGCTGGTTCCGCAGTGCCGGAGGTTTGGCGGTCCACAAGTGCCCCAACTCCCGGATGCTCTCCGCGACATCGTCTCGGGCTCCGTGCCGGGCGGCGGTGTCTACCATTGCTGCTCAGGCGACTCCTCCGCCGCCGCATGTGCGGCTCACCCTCTCATGCTGCAAGGCCCACTGTGGGGCCTGTGGACGGTGCTGCCGCACTACTCGTGGATTCCAAATCCATAGCTGCCGAAGATGGCTCTCTCGTCGTGCCGATTGAACATGGTCCCTGATCTCTCGGCAGACTGCCGACTTTCTGCCGTCGTGCGTCGTTTCCATGCTGTCGGCCCCGCGAGGGGACACGTGACCGTAATGGCAGTGTTTACCAGGACCAGGACCAGGTGTGTGTTTGTGTGTGTGTGTGTGTGTGTGATGTCTAGATCATGTCGGCAGGATGGCTGACTCGCGAGCACCGAAAAAATTGCTCTTCGGCGAGGTGCCTAATGGGGAAGATCAAGGTCAAGGTCAAGGTCAAGGTCAAGGTGTGTGATGCTATTGTTGAAGTTTATTTATATGTCTATGTGTGAGTAGTCTGTACATGTTACACACTGCTGCCAAATAATTTCCCCCCAAAAGGCTGGCCACATGGTGCGAATTTTTCTCCTCGGTAATTTTTTTACAGGGAATTCAAAATATCGCCTAAAACACCATGAAAATTCACTTCGTTGCCATGGTCACCCCAGAGTTGTCATGAATTTTGTACTGATGAGTGTGGTCGCACACCGACTACATGCATGTACAGACTGTCAGTGTGTCAGTGTACATGCCATCCAGCCTGATCCAGGCATGTTACTTTGCACTGCCACAGCCAAGCGCTAGCCTTTTTAGAAGCAAATGTACAGTGATTTGTGCCTTCAGTTGCGCTGAAAAGTGAAAGTACAGGACTTCTGCATAGGAAAGTAATGATCTCCGACATTTTGGTTGCTTTTCGGACGTTTCCCTTTTCGGACCGGTTTTCGGAAGAGCCTTCAAAAATCGGACACTGTCCGAAAAATCGGACGGTTTGGCAGCACTGCATGTATATGTCTTTGTGTTGGTGTTAGTGTGTGGGTGTCAACGTGTGCAGGGCATGTGTGCGTGGGGGGGGGGGGGGGTCTTAAGCTGTGTTCACAACTGGCACGTGGACGCGGCACGCTTTCGGTTCAAGCGTGTCAAAACCGGTGCTCAGGCTTTCACAAAAAAACCAGCGATCCGAGTCGCATTTAGCACATGCGACGCCTTCGAGTACTGATTGTTTGACGCCGCCGGTCAGGTGGCATGTACGCCGGTACGCGCCTGATACGCGCTGAAATTTCCAACATGTTGGAACTTCCATTTCGCCGCGTTTCCATACGCATGACACCCAAAAAGCCAGCAAAAATTCGCACAAACGCGTTGTTTCACGCGTACCATATTTCCCCCGAATGCAAGTCACACCTTTTAACACTATACTTGAAAAACAAAGAAGGCGGCGGTGCGACTTACAATCCAGTGTGAATTCATACTCATATGAATGTATTGATAAAATGAATTTTGTTTCAGACCTAAAACTGGGTTGCAACTTATAATCAAGTGTGACTTATAATCAAGTGTGACTTATAATCAAGTGTGACTTATAATCAAGTGCGACTTATAATCAAGTGCGACTTATAATCAAGTGCGACTTATAATCAAGTGCGACTTATAATTAAGTGCGACTTATAATCAAGTGCGACTTATAATCAAGTGCGACTTATAATCAAGTGCGACTTATAATCAAGTGCGACTTATAATCAAGTGTGACTTATAATCAGTTTCCTCTGAGACAAAAATGCGATAATACTCATAAAAAGGACACACTTCAGGCTCATTACAAACATCTTGAAAGTTTTTGTCTTCACAAGTATACTTTCAAGCCTTCTCATCAGGTGAAATACAGGCAAGGGAAAAGGAACAGGAACAGTGGATTAAATACAGTAAGAAGGTGGTAAAACAGCGCAAAAAGAAAGAAAGAAAGAAAGAAGATAGCTAAAGTAAACAGCGAAAATTGCAATAATGACACAAAGGTGCAAATGCGAGAAAACTCAATAAGCGCGACATGTAGTGCGACAACAAGAGACAACCACTGGACATACATGTAACTAACGAGGTTTTGACGACCTACCTAACAGCCTAAGTGTGAATTTGATTTGTTTCTGCTTGCAAAGGTTGGGTTTCCTTGTGTGGATGTATACAGCTTCCAAAACATTCAGCAATCTAGCACTGCGTACACGTGACACAATCGAAAAACAATCATCCGAATACACAGCACGACAATCAGGATGCTCAAACAAATGACTAGCAATGGACGACTCATACTTATCAGAACTAACATCAGAACAATCAGCATGTGCGGTGGACACATCCGATTTCACATGGCTAGTCGAGTGGACCCTAGCCGTTGCCTCTGTCTGTGCTTTAGTCGCTGCCATCGCCGTCGCCATCGCCGTCCTTCATCTACTCCACGGTGCGTGCGTTCACGGTGACGAAGGACGTCCTACCTACAGGCCAATTATCCAAGTTGATTTATCACTTCGAGTGTCGGCAATGTGAGAGCTGATATGTAGGTAGGACTCTTCAACATCTGGACGCACGCATCCGACAACACGCACCGCTACACCTTATTCCACAACACGCACGATCCACTCGACCACGGAGGGGACGTCCAGCAAAGAATCATCCTGGTACAAGATGGTCCAACGCAGCGGCATCAACACCAAGCAACGTCACCTCACAATTAACTAGACCACCAGAAAAACAACCGGACAAGACACCTACGTGCGTGGCAGTGACAGGAACCGCATCAACCAGAAGATTGACAAGATCGGCAACGGCGGCGATGGCAGCGACTAAAGCACAGACAGAGGCAACGGCTAGGGTCCACTCGACTAGCCATGTGAAATCGGATGTGTCCACCGCACATGCTGATTGTTCTGATGTTAGTTCTGATAAGTATGAGTCGTCCATTGCTAGTCATTTGTTTGAGCATCCTGATTGTCGTGCTGTGTATTCGGATGATTGTTTTTCGATTGTGTCACGTGTACGCAGTGCTAGATTGCTGAATGTTTTGGAAGCTGTATACATCCACACAAGGAAACCCAACCTTTGCAAGCAGAAACAAATCAAATTCACACTTAGGCTGTTAGGTAGGTCGTCAAAACCTCGTTAGTTACATGTATGTCCAGTGGTTGTCTCTTGTTGTCGCACTACATGTCGCGCTTATTGAGTTTTCTCGCATTTGCACCTTTGTGTCATTATTGCAATTTTCGCTGTTTACTTTAGCTATCTTCTTTCTTTCTTTCTTTCTTTTTGCGCTGTTTTACCACCTTCTTACTGTATTTAATCCACTGTTCCTGTTCCTTTTCCCTTGCCTGTATTTCACCTGATGAGAAGGCTTGAAAGTATACTTGTGAAGACAAAAACTTTCAAGATGTTTGTAATGAGCCTGAAGTGTGTCCTTTTTATGAGACTTATAATCAAGTGCGACTTATAATCAAGTGCGACTTATAATCAAGTGCGACTTATAATCAAGTGCGACTTATAATCAAGTGTGACTTATAATCAAGTGCGACTTATAATCAAGTGCGACTTATAATCAAGTGCGACTTATAATCAAGTGCGACTTATAATCAAGTGCGACTTATAATCAAGTGCGACTTATAATCAAGTGCGACTTAGAATCAAGTGCGACTTAGAATCAAGTGCGACTTATAATCAAGTGCGACTTATAATCAAGTGCGACTTATAATCAAGTGCAACTTATAATCAAGTATAATCAAGTGCGACTTATAATCAAGTGCGACTTATAATCAAGTGCGACTTATAATCAAGTGCAACTTATAATCAAGTATAATCAAGTGCGACTTATAATCAAGTGCGACTTATAATCAAGTGCGACTTATAATCAAGTGCAACTTATAATCAAGTGTGACTTATAATCAAGTGTGACTTATAATCAAGTGTGACTTATAATCAAGTGTGACTTATAATCAAGTGCGACTTATAATCAAGTGCGACTTATAATCAAGTGCGACTTATAATCAAGTGTGACTTATAATCAAGTGTGACTTATAATCAAGTGCGACTTATAATCAAGTGCGACTTATAATCAAGTGCGACTTATAATCAAGTGCGACTTATAATCAAGTGCGACTTATAATCAAGTGCGACTTAGAATCAAGTGCGACTTAGAATCAAGTGCGACTTATAATCAAGTGCGACTTATAATCAAGTGCGACTTATAATCAAGTGCGACTTATAATCAAGTGCGACTTATAATCAAGTGCGACTTATAATCAAGTGCGACTTATAATCAAGTGCGACTTATAATCAAGTGCGACTTAGAATCAAGTGCGACTTAGAATCAAGTGCGACTTATAATCAAGTGCGACTTATAATCAAGTGCGACTTATAATCAAGTGCAACTTATAATCAAGTATAATCAAGTGCGACTTATAATCAAGTGCGACTTATAATCAAGTGCGACTTATAATCAAGTGC